AATTTTATTGTGCAGAGAAAGAAAAAAAAAAACACTTGTTACAGATGTGCAAACTAGTAATCAGCAGGGAATCTTCTTATTGAATATAATTATAGATAACAATAATTGGAACCCTGCTATGCTCTGTGGTAGGGAATTGTTTTGTAGAATAGTTTGAGTTCTCAGAAAAATGCTGTGAAAGATGCAGGAAAACTGAGGCATAGAGAGTTTAAGCAACTTTCCCAGTGATCTCAAGGGTCAAGAACAAGACCAAAGTTAAAATTCCAGTAACAATCTTATAAAAAGATGTGAGAACATTTTTAAATATACAAAATTTACAAAATAAGAGACAGTTGTGCACCCATCACCAAGCTTCACCAAGTATCAATTAACGCCAGTGTTTTCCTAGACACCCCACCACTTTCCGCTTCCATGTTATTTTGAAGCACATTTCAGAATCATATCATTTTATCCAGCATACATATCAATATATTTCTCTGAAAGTTTAAACTTGTATAAAACACAATCACAACAACCAGATCATATCAAACACTAAAAGAATTTCTTTTTCTCTTTTGCTATTTTCTTTGTTCATTTTTATTTCAACACTATAACATATGTCCCCATTTTAAAAATATCATCAAATGTACAGATTCAATGTACAGATTTTCAATCTTATAAGTATTATAAATATTTTATTTTAGTTTATTTGTTTGAATCAGAGTCCAAATGCAGTACATATATTGCAATTACTTAAATAACTCTTATGTCTCTTTTAAACCACAGTTTCACCAACATTTCTTCAATTCTCTCTATAGTATATTTGTTGAAGAAATTAGGATTTTGTTGAATCCATTTCTTTTTTTGGTAGATTTAGCATGTTCCTTTGACCTCTATATTTTTTGTATATTGGGGTTTATATCTTGAGGCTTAACCAGATTCAAGATTAATTGTTTATTTGCTGCTTTGTTTGTTTGTTTCTGACAATATTAACCCATAACCGAGGATCTGTTTCTTCCTCCAAATGCTACAATCACTCCCTCCCCACCAAGAAATTTAAGAAATACATATTGTTCAAAGAAACTTACTACAGGATAAGTCACCATGTTGGACAGAAAAGGCAGGCTTTTTCAAACACATAGGTGACCAAAGATTCCTTACAAATATATCAGACACATAAGAAGGTGAGAGCAATTTTTAGGTGCAGATATTGGGGATGATATGTTTGCTAGCAGCATTTATTTCTAAAATGTTCTTGGACAAGCAAAAGTCAGAAGGAAAATTATGATTTTTTTAAAAAGATTTTATTTATTTATTTATTTTCAGAGAGAAGGGAAGGGAGGGAGAAAGAGAGGTAGAGAAACATCAATGTGTGGTTGCTTCTGGAGAGACCCCTACTGGGGACCTGGCCCATAACCCAGGCATGTGCTCTGACTAGGAATCAAACTGGCGACCTGTTGGTTCTCAGGCCGACACTCAATCGACTGAGCCACCCCAGCCAGGGCAGGAAATTATGATTATTATAGTTAATTATACCCTAATACTTCTGAGGAAAAATAAGAACACTCATGAAAGCAGGATGTGAAGAGATGATGGTAACAAAACATTAGCAGAAAAGACTTTGAAGCCATATCCTGAAATGTTCACTGTGGTAAAGCAGGGCAGACAATGATTTCGAAATTAATCAATCAAAAATCTACCTCCCATAGATTTTTGTGTGTAAAGCAATAAGACTAAAGTTCTGATGAAAAATAGTCATTTCCCCAGCTTAACCAGGACTTCCAGAAAAGAAAGAAACCTAAAATGAAGTATTACATCAGAAGCTTATATATAAGGTACTTGGAGGGCAAGGGTCATCATTACCTGACTTGGTTAGGATGAATATTATAAGAGAGGAAAAGGAGTATGCTTTAAAAGATTGTTAGAATGGAAGTAAAAGGAAATGAGTGGGTGGCATATTACAACCACATAAATTATATGAAAAAATGAGTAGCTAGGAATAAGCACATTATGTTCAAGAGAAATCATTGATCAACATCTTTAAAAACATTCAAAATATGTATATGCATAAATGGCACAGTTGGTTGTTCTGGAGTGAGGACACATACCGTCTTAGTCTTGGCCCAGTTTAGCTATGAGGCACCTCAGATACACCATTTAACTTCATTGAGTTTCTGGGTTTATATCTGTAAAAAGAGATTGTTGGACTAGCTTAAAAGTTCCCTGATTTCTGGGACAAGTAAAGTTCTTTTGAATGTTGAACAAGTTAAATTTTTATTAAAGTAAAAACCCAACAAAATAACTATCTGCTACCTACCATCTGCTACTAGAATCATTTTTTTAAAGAAGCCATATTTAAAGCAAAGGTAGTGTGTATATATATGTCTCTGTTGTATACGTGTGTGATAATTTATATTAAAACTAACCAAATTGCCCTCATTTTTTTTATTTTGATATAGACTGATAAGAACTTCATCATAGAGCCTACCTGATTAACCTTTGGGAGCAATAGACTAGCTGATATTTAACAGTCCTTCCCTTTGTGACATGCTAAGAGCTCATAACTGGCATAATATCTTCTGCCTATAGTTGTCAAACAATCTAGTTAACTAACACCCCTGAAATGTACAGCATGTGATTGAGTCTGCTGTCAGAACAGTTCTTGTTGAGGTACACATAGGTAGAGCAGAAAAAGACATCTAGTTGGAAACCAGCAGAATTGTCTTCTGGTCCACATTTTTGTCACTCCTAGCTCCATGAACTTGTTCATTCATTAAACCTTTCTAAAAACCATCTGGAAAAATGAAATGCTCATAGTGCCTTACCTAACTGAATTGTTGTGAGATCAATAAGATAATATATTTTATTGTTATTTTTATAAACTGTAAAACTAGATAAAATTTTAATAACAAAATACCGATATGTAAAATCCCCCAAATAGATATGAATTTACTAGTATTTCAAAGAGGATTGTAAGATTGTGATTTTGATCATTAAAATGGCTTTCTAGGAACTGAACTACAAAAATCAAAAGCCTAAAGATGTTTTTATGATGAACATTCAGAAAAAGGGAGATTTTAATTTACCCCAAACATTTCATGTTCTTATAAATTCTAGGATGACAACATAATCAAAATTGCCAGCCATCCAAATATACCATTTTTTCTCTTCATATCTGAAAATTAGTAGCACTTTGCAGTGAACAATTGTTAAGAGAGCCACTAGAATTTAAGTCCAACCACATAAAAAAGTAAGCATGAGTGGAAATTAAGACTTTGACAAAGATGCCTATGGAGTAATGATGAAATGTAGGTAGCAACTTCTGTTCAAATGAGAAGAAGCGTGCCTTTTCTTGGTTAGAGAATACTAATTATCAAAGATTTGGCAGAAGTCTGCCACTCCTAACTGTGTGAAATCAGCATACTGACATTTCTGAAAATGGCACTGATCACAGCATAATACAGTTGAGTAATCCTCCTACAAGGTAGCTAGCTGTCCTGGTGGTTTGCTGTTTATCACTGAAAACAGTTCAGTCTTGTCATTTCTCTGTGAACTGTTTCTGTGAGTTCTTGGAATATAATTTATGCATGTTTAGAATTACCTGTATTTTAAAATTCATATTTAAAACAATTGTTGATCAATGAATTGGGAACTAAACTTTTTTTCAGGGCAGGTGATTTCAGATACATTTTCTGTAATTCTCATGGAAGACATGAAGATAAAATATGGCTACTATGATGACTTACGAGTATGCCCTATGTAAGATTCAAAATTGCAAAGATATCTTCTATCCAACATAGCAGTTATTATATACCCTGTTGCAACTTTTATTTTAAATTAAAAACTGTACATTGAACTATATTTTTCATGATGATGTGGGCAATTTTTGTGTTGGACCTGCTCTATCCTCAGGGCCTAATAAATTGATGGTGTCTAAGAGGTATTCAATACAACTTTGTTGAGTAAATAAAAGCATGATGTTCAGTACTTCAAGTTTCAGATATGATGGAAAGGTTGAAAAACATTTCTGATTTATGTTATGCAATTTTAAAATGCAGAAACCACCACATGAATTTAAGTTAGTATTGTAGAGTCTCAAATTTTGAGTAATATCCTTCATTAATATGGAACAAATTAAATATAAAAAAGGCAAACAAATACATAATTTTTTTCTTCATTAACGTTCAAAATGATGATTTATTTTAAATGCCATTACTTTTGGATAAAAACAGTTCATCCTTATACATCTAGTTGAAAAAATATGTTTTAATACTAAAGAATATTTTACTCAGTGTGTTTACATTTACAAACTAAAGCCATAATTCAGTTATTTAAACCAAAATTTAATGTGCAAAAAAAATGCTTCACGCTGATTTTAAAAACCAAACTGTTTTTAGTACATTTTATCCTAATTAGCCACATATCCGTTAGTCATAAAAGATCAACTAAAACTGATATTGTTTTGGTTTTCAATTAAAACTGAAAGACCTCTTAAAGGTTCAGATAAATTTTCATTGTTGATGTAATAACATGGTTGTATATTTATATAATTTTAATCTTAAATGTAGATCTGTGAGTTAGGTTTATCAAAAGGATTTTTAACTGATGATTTGGTTAAAATACTTCTCTACTGAGAAAATATTTATGCAAAAAGTATAGATTTAAAAATAACTTGCACTTAACATTTATTAAAAGAATAACTTTTTAAACAAGAATGAGGTAACATATAGTGTACTAATTATTTGAGCCATACTCTTTACAAAATACATATTTTTTTAATAAAGAAGAGTAAGTACATACTGAAAGTAATGTATTCTGTTTACTAAAAAAAAAATCCTTTGACTAGGTTGGAAAAGGTAAAGCAAATATTTTAAACTACAACTGATATAATTCCTGGAAGAAAATATGCTACTTGTAAAATTGTCATTGCAAGAGTAATTTCTTTGTAAACACATCCTTTGCAATTCTGTAGTAATGTATTCCTTCTCAGTGCTTCAACATTGCTTTTATTTCCATGCTAGGTCTGGACAGTGTACCAAAAGATCTTCCCCCGGACACTACACTGCTGGACCTGCAAAACAATAAAATAACTGAAATCAAAGATGGGGACTTTAAGGACCTGAAGGACCTTCATGTAAGAATTTTGTTTTTTTTTAAATTTTGAGTTGTAACAAGATTTGACTCAAAGTATTTTTCAAAACAAAACTTAGGTAAGGCCAGGGATACTAGATGGTAACAAATAAGCACCTAAGTTTTAATTCAATTCTCTTCTTAGGAGGTGATTGAGGAACAAATCATTGTAGTCATTAACTCCTAAAAATCAGCCAAATTGTTTACATACACTGTATATATAGTTAGTGTTTGTTTCTTCAGACTACTTGAAATTTTAATCCCATGTTTCATGAACAAAAGTCTTTATCTTCCCCATTATATTGTACTTCAGTAGTGAAACAAAATGGATTGATCTCAGTATTATTTTATTTTTTTGTTTCTTTTGTTTTCATTTATTCATATTCTGTGAGGTGTAAATAACTGTGTAAAGGCTCATAGATTGACACCAAGAGAAAAACAGGTAATATTTCTATTTTATTTAGTAAATATAATTCCATCTTCAAATACACATACGCATGCATACATATATACATTGCTTTGTGTTTTGGATTATGCATACTGCGTTCTTATCTGTATCTGTGTTATTATTATGATTTTCACTTAATCTACTCTCGTATATGACAACACATCCAGTCTACCAATCAGGATTTCAGCAGAAAAGAGATGGCATTCTCAAAAGCAGTTCACAGAGGAGACTTTACTAAAGTGACTATTTACAGAGGAATATGAGAACCAACAAGGTTTTCACAAGGCCTCAAGGAAGTAGAGAGTCCCAGAGCCTTGAGGGAGGTGGGGAGCTGTAGTCCTATCTTCTGATTTCCTGCCAGTATCTTCTATGGTTGAAACTAAGTGGAGGCCAGAGGACAAAAGCATCTGGGTGATGAAGTCACCAGAGGTCAGCTTGGCAGGACATAAGGAAGGGTCAGAAAAGACAAACAACAAATATAACTGTATTTGGGAGAGGTGTGCTAAAAATGAGAAATGGATAACAATCAAATAGGTTTAAGCCTTGCTAAGATAGCCTTCCGTAAGAGTAAATGCACTAGCTGTTCACAGAGGACATCGGAATCCCTACAAAATTCATCTAGTCTAGTTCTTCACCTGCAATTTTCTATTAAAATATCATTGCATATTTAGTGTTATTAAGCCAGATTTCAGTGTCCAAATAAATACTAAAAGTCCCACTGTCTCTGAATCCTACTCTGACAAGCCTCTCTTAAAATATTGAGTCTGGTCCTGGACAAGACATTTTAGGGAGGACATTGCCCTTTGAACATTTAAAAAATGATCATCACGGCTATAAGGAATCTGGAAATCATGTCTTATAGGACAGTTGATGGAGATGTGGATATCTAAATTGCATGCAAAAAGGTCATGAGTGACATATTTGAAAGGCCATGTTGGAAAAGAGAAATTGAATTGTCTTGCTTCAACTACAAGATGATAGAATTGTCCTATTGACAATTGAGTAGAATTTCAGGGATGCAGATTTTTATTCAACGTTAAATATAATAATATAAAGAGTTAGAATTTTCAAATAATGGAGAGGATTGCCAATTGATCAGTTACCTATTTGTGGAGACAAATATCATAGAAATACACTCTTAAGTTTGAGAATATAAACATAAAAAACTCCTTTTTTCACATTCATTTATTTCTTTTAACTGTTATAAAATTAATTGTTATATAGTAAGAATAAACAATAATAGTAAAATATAAATATAAAAATAGTCTGGCTGTTATATATTAGAATAAGAAATGTGTGTTCAAAGTAAATAATGTAATGTTAAGTAAAATAAATTGATTGTAATGTGCTAGAGTTCATAGTTCATATAATGAAATTAAGATGTAGTAATCAACTTTCTAGCAGCCAAGATAAGAAAAGCAGTAAACATTTGTCCATTAGAAGAAAATATACAAGAATTTTAAAGGGAAGCATATATCTGTTATCTTAAGATTTTAAGGTTCTCCATGGAAGAGTTAATTAAAATAATCGCACATATAAAGTTGTGTAGTCAATTTATTGAAGGGTCCAACAGTATAAGCACAATATGATATCAGTAGTGAATGTTAAGATCACCAAGTAAAAGTCAGACATCATCTTACATCAGGTTGCCAGTTAGTGTTTTGAGAAAACATGGGATAAAGAGGTCTCAGAATATTAGCAGAATTTGGAAGAGAGAGGGTTTTCTGTGTAAGAGGAAAGGAAATACAGAAGAACATAAGCAGACAAATATAAACAGAAACTGGCTTGAATGAAACATTCAGGCTCCAGAATACTGGAGGATAAGGTTTGAGCCAGAGATCTCAAACCATGGCCCCATGAGATCCATCTCCACTGGCAGGTTATGAGGCCTGAGCCCCTACTTCACTCTCCCTCTGCTTTCATGTTATTGTTTCACTGGGAGTGTGCCTACCATGCTACCAACAGGGTTCGTCAATGACTATGTAAACTGCCGTTGGAACAGGCTAAAAAAAGTGATGATAAAAATGGAATATTTTTAATTTCAATAAACTAAAAGATTTTGAAACTTTATCTTATTTTCATAAGAAATCAACTTTTTTAAGAAAGGAAAATTTTCTTCCCCTAATCCCTGCTTCCTGAGTGTTTATGTATAATCTGAATAATTTGTTTAAACTCCTCATATCCTGACATAAGAAGTATCTAGTTTCTGCATTCTCATTAAGTCTGGCATTTGTAATAATGTGCTCTTTCTTTTCCACATCTCCTTCAAAGTATGTTTTTTAGGCAATTATCATCTTGGCAATCTCTCTCTTCCTACTTCAAAGTACACATTGGAAGACGAGAGAGAGAGTTTATTAGAGCTTCCAACTATTCAGAGGATGTTAAACAGCTATTTTCCCCTTACTCTTTCATTCATGGTCATTTCTATCCTTGTTATTATGCAAATAAACATCATAATTTCAGCCAGGAAAGCCTCACTGGAACGAGAAGGAAGGAGACAAATGAAAATTTAGCAAGGATTAAAATAAAAAAGATTTAACAGAAAAAATTTCTTTTATTTCCTCAATAATTTGATCAGTTTACAACTGTCTGGTTCATTATGAGAGGAGGTACATGTTGTATGAGTAGCTATATGTATTAGAAAAACTACATACTTATTCTATAAAATAATAGAAAATTACATGTCAACATTCAATATTTTTTAATTGAAGCTTAAAATTTAGGAAGGAAATTTTTAAATTAAAAATAAAATTTGTTAAAGATTGAATTATAAAAATACTAGTGATTGCTATATACTGGGCACTGTTCTTAATACCTTATATGCATTAACTCACCTAATTCTTATAACTATTCTTATGAAGTAGACACTCTTGATAACCCCTTTATACATATGAAGTCACTCAGGCACAGGCAAATTGAGTTACTTGCTCATAACCACAGAGCTAGAAAGAGCTAAAGCTTAAGATCTAAACTTAGTAGCAGTCTGGCTTGAATTTGTGCACTAATAATTGCCTATAAATTTGATAACCAGAATACAATTCCTTAAAACAACACCTAATACAGTGTAAGCTCTACATAAGTGGCTTTGGAGAAAATTATAAATACGAATTCAGATTTCTATATTTTTCCTTTCTACTTTATTGAAATATAATTTACCTGCATTACTATATAATTTTAAGGTGTATACCATAAAGAATTGACTTATACATGTAGGAAAATGTTACCACAATAAGATTAGTTAATGTCCATCATCTCAGATAGTAAATTTTTTTTCATTATGAAGAGAAATTTTAGGATTTACTCTCTGAGCATTTTCAATATACCATAAAATAGTGTTAACTATAGTCATTATGTTGTACAATACCTCTAAAGTAGCTATTTATCTTATATCGAAAAGTTTGTACCTTTTTATTACTTTCTTGGCTGACGGTGGTGAAAATACTTTTACTTGTACTTCTACCCTATTTTTGCTGTTCGTCACCTTTTTCATCACTTCACCCTAAGTCCCAGTCTTGATCACTTTTTTCATTAATTACTAAAGAAGCAGTTGTCCTGATTTCTCAGTCTGCCTTAATTTTAGATTAAATGGCACTCAAGGCACTTCTCCCCAATCAATACATTCTCTTCTAAATCAACTTCCCTCATCCTTTTAGCTAACTAATGATAATCCATTTCTGCCTGTTTTTCTTTTTTGCGTTAGCTAAATATCCAGAAGAACACCTGGAGTTCACCTTTGACTTTTTCTTTGGTAGCTGGACTTTCTCATTAACTAGTGTAATTAATCAGCTTTTTCCATCTCAACATTTTGCCATTGCCTATTATTTTATAAGTATGCTTTCTTAAATACACACCTCTCTGTATGGAGCTGACATTAACTGTCTTTAACAATTCTGTGTATACACTAGCAACTTTCTCATGTGTGGATCTGTTTTAGATGAAGTTTTAATTTATATAGTCTTTAAAATTTTACCATATTATGACCAAATTTTTCAGTTTTATTTTTCAAATTTGTTTTATCCTGAAAGCAGAGATGTTTTTCACTGGACTAAAACCTTCAACAAACAATAATATGTGAAAGGTACTTAGCAAAGTAGTCTATATACATTGTCATTTTTAATCTTCACAACAATCCTTATAGGTGCTCCTGTTATTCCCACTTTATTAAGAAATAATTGGGGACAAATGTCACACTACCCCCGAAATCATCAGCAGTTGTTACTATAACATACTCATAGGTACAGGCATTATCTAGTTATTAACTAGTCAAAGAGGTAATACTTTATTACCTGGAACAGCAGGTAATGCATCCTCAGGTTGATTCTTTATTAATAGGCTTTAACATTTGACATGAATTAAAATAGATTTTCAAAGCATGTTTAATGCATTTATTATAAAAAGATTTCAGAATTTTCTTCCACAGATGAATATTGAGGATCTCCTTTGCATTTAAAATTAAACATCCACTATTTTGGATGTCTTTTAATGATGTAAGTCCTCTGAATCTCTGGCTGTGGCTTTTACTGATTTCCTGGGCATTTTGCTTATTAATATAACTTTTCTATGATTTATAAATCCAACAATTTTTTGAACTTTCTGTAATAGTCTTTGGAATTTCTTAGGATTTAGTTTTAATTACCAATACATATTTTAGAATTAGGTAAAAATCATGTTACTTGTAACAAGTTTTAACTAAATAATGTGAACTACACAAAGATGTGCATGGCTTAATTAAACAGCTGTTACTCTAAAAAGTATTCTTGCATTTCCGAGACTAAAGTTAACACTTTTCTGTTACTCTAGTTCCCTTTTTGTCCCTCTGCATTTTCATATATGCATAAACATGTACTACAATTGAAAATGCAGATTTTTAATAAGTTGATAAAAACTATTTTGTTAATTAGGATTAGTTGATAAAGAGATTTAAAATAATAAGAATGGTGTGATTCTGTAGACATATAGATCATTGGAAGACAATAAGGTAGTCGAGAAATAGGTTTGGCCATAGCTATAGGTATAGCAATTATAAATGATATATAATTACCCATATTAGGAAAACTCAGAAACAAAAATTTTAAAAGTTGCCAAAAATACTAATATACTCAGCTATATAAAAACTTTGTATATAAAAAGGGCAAGAAAATAGAAAATAAATATATTTAGGCTCTGAGTATCATATTACCTATATCTTTATTCTCTTAACCAATAAGAAGTACTGTGATCAGGCAAACCTCTTCCTCCAAAAACTATAGCAAATAGTAGTAAAAGGAACTAAAATGTTTTAAAGCTTTCAAGTAACAAGAAAATGCAAAATAAAGCCACAAGCTGCAATATAATGTATTCATTTGACAAACTTTTGAAACAGATTATCTAAATTTTTGAGGCTTCAAGAAAATTTTACTGTACGGCACAGCTGGTGATGGTATAAATTGATGCCACCCTCTTGTAGTGGAATCCATGACAGCAGTCAATGAAGTGGACTTAGAGGCTGAAAACTGGAGAATGGATGGATGCCTTTTCAGGTATCTGGAGCCACTTCAATAATTTCAATCTTTAGGAATATTATATATTGGTTAATATTATATATTGGATTGGCCAGTTTGTTTAGTTTTTTTTTCCATATGATGGCTCTAAGTAGTGCTTAGTGGTCTTTAACTTCATTCAAAACAATTGTGTTAGATTGTATTGTTTACAGCTGTCATATCAGTGTGCATCAAAAAAAACTTATCAAAATTGGTGAATTTTTGTGCAGCCATTTTAATATTGAAGATGTAAGAAAATATGCAACATTTTTGGTATATAATGCTTTATTATTTCAAGAAAGGTAAAAACACAACTGAAATGCACAAAATCATGGATAAGGTGCTGTGACTGATTGAACATGTCAAAAGTGATTTGTGACTTTTTTTTGGTACTATTGACCTTTTGGCCAACTAATTCTTTGCTGTGGGGCTGTCTTACGCATTGGAAGATGTTTAGCAGCATCCCTGGCCTCTACCCATTAGAAACCAAGAGCAGGAGATGGCTGAGATACTCAAAATATCCAAACAATATAGTTATTGGTGAAAATGAAAAAACGTGTCTTTTATTTTATGGAAAAAACTAAATGGACTATTTGGCTAATCCGATATATATATAATTTCATTATATTTCCTTCCTCTTTATTCCTAATGTCCAGGTCTTCGTAAACTTCTTAAAGGAATCACATATGATTGATATTTGCTGATCTCTTGCAACTCTGCAGGTTCCCCTACTAACTCCATCAATGGAATGAACAGACTACACACTCGTTCTATATATGTGTGGAAGGTTTTGGAATTAAGAGAAAGTTGTTTTTGTTCCCCTATCCACAGGCATTGATTCTGGTCAACAACAAAATTAGCAAAATCAGCCCTGGAGCATTTACACCTTTGGTGAAATTGGAACGACTCTATCTGTCCAAGAATCAGCTGAAGGAATTGCCAGAAAAAATGCCCAAAACTCTTCAAGAACTGCGTGTCCATGAGAACGAGATCACCAAAGTGCGAAAATCCGTGCTCAATGGACTGAACCAGATGATTGTCATAGGTATAGATATTCTTATGACTCTAAGACCAGGATTCAAGGTTCACCTTAAGAGATTTCAAGTAAGCTTTAGTGGCAGGAAGGTAAATGAGCGAGAACTTATATGTCTTAAGCCTATGGGAATGGCAGGAGCAAGGTGAGGAGAAGTAGGACGTTGAGTTTGTGCCTTACAACAACATTTCTATCTCTTGTCTTTGGGGTTTTGAGAATGGAGGGAAAGCCCTAGAGCTGAAGTTATCCTGTGGCATGCCCAAGATGCAGGATGTAATTAAGTAGTGTTTAACTGGAGACATTTGAGGATGCATTTTCATGTGGGAGTTGGTTTTATCTGGAAATCTATAAATTATTTTCTTTAAAAAATATATCTTCATGTTTTGCACTATGCATGACAAAATTACAATTTTATAATTGGCTTACAGAATGTTAGATTCAAATTATATAACATTTCAATGTATTTTAGGAAAGTAATAGTCCCATAATAAGTGTTATATGTAAATACTTGATTTTGTTGATTTCTGGGCAAAGTTGTATATGTACCTTAAAAAATTTTGTTGCTGTTTTTGCTACTATTACTCTTCCATAAACATTTGTGTAGTTTTTTGTTTTTGTTATTTATTGTTTGTTGTAGTAAGGATTATTTTTACCCCATTTTGCCATCGCCTTGAGGAGCATTGCTTTAATTTCTCTTTTGTTTTTCAGTCAAGATGTTGTTGAACCAAATTTCTATTCAATTCTTTTTTGAGACAGACACTGCTTTGACTTGCAATATCCTAAAATTGTCTTCTAAAAGCTTTACTCTTATTGCATTTGCAGAATTGGGCACCAACCCACTGAAGAGCTCAGGAATTGAAAACGGAGCCTTCCAGGGAATGAAGAAGCTCTCCTACATTCGCATTGCTGACACCAATATCACCTCCATCCCTCAAGGTGGTTACAAATTCTCCAAAGCAATTTGGAAACCTAAATCCAAAAGCTTCCATACTTTAAAAAGATCATTTTGGAAATCTGAACGATGACTCAAAGAGACAACCTCTACTCAGGCTCAGTGTGAACACGGTGATGAAGTGTTTCTACTGAGCTTGGCTGACCACCGGGCCAACTATGCTCATCGTAGAGATGACTTGGCTCTTTTACCTATAAAGTCTCTTTTAAGATATAACTTAATGCACAATGATTTTATATAACAGAATTGTGATTTCACAAAGAAAAAAGTACAGTTATTTTAAGAAATAGAGTGCCTTAGTGGTACTTTGTTAAAAGAGAAAGAAAGATATGTGAAAGTACCTCTGAAATAGAACCAATTTTTACTTCGAGTCCCTAATCTCTGAGTGAATTTCTTTCCATTTTAGGATTTTCCAGTTACTACTCTTTGAGTAAGAGGATCCACAGTGACCACATTCTTATTTAAATGGGTTTTGGAGCCTGTTTGCTTGACGTCAGACTGTCACTGATTGGAATTTATCAAAATCTGTGCTTCAATTTTCTTATATTTGAGGTGAAAATAATAATACGCACCTCACTGGGTTGTTTTAAAATTAAACAAATAATTAGAGGAATATCTGACATATAGATAAGTAGTGGATTAATATTACCTTATGTTGTTCATGAAAAATATTTTGAACATTCATTTTGCTTAGGCAAAGTTCCAAACACAGGAGACAGGACAGTGAATAGGATATACTACCTGCCTTCAAGCAGCTCATTGCATGAGCAAAACCCAACAGTTAAACATCAATCACCACACAGTCCTGGGGGTCAGCTCATTGTATGAAGAGCTACCCAGGAGAGGCACATAAGCCAGTCTTTGTGAATCAGAAAAGGCATCAAATCACCAAAAATAAGTTCTTCTAATTTTCACATTTTTCCTGTCTTAGGTTCTTCAGTCTCACAAAAAACCCTCTATATTCTCAAATTTTCCTTTCAATCTGGCCCTTCTCAATTTATATGTGTTATTCTTAGACTGGGGAGAAAATGCAGCTACTTGCTCACAGAAAACAATGACCCTTTATTGCACTTCCATAAAAACTTCAACTCGAGAATACATATTCCATAGAATGGTTTCTTACCACCCCTTGCCCTCTCCACAGTCTTTTTTGCTATGGAGGATGTTTTTGGCTCATAATAGCAACTACTGGTATAGATACAGAGATACCTAGAGAAGGGAGATTGATTTCCAGTTCATAAAGCGCATTCATATTGAGACTCGGACTTGTTGCACATAACAAGTGATCTTTTTTTATCCCCAGTGCAGGGATTATATGCATTTAATATATTTATATATTTATGTTTATATTTTATATAGTTTATGTTTTATGATATATATAAAGTTATCGATATATATATACATACACACATATATATGGCCTTAGAGAGCTGTAGGAGGTAAAGTAGCTGGAATTTAAAGTCCAAATCCTCCCACTACTTTTTGCTGCCAGATGCCTTGCATTGAAAGAACAATCTTTGGCTTTTCTCTTAATGCATCTTCCTAAATATCCCTCAATAACATTCTATTGCTTAGTGATCTGTTTTTTTAGATTCTCTTGTATCCTTTCTGTATCCTGGGTGCTCTTATCATCTGTAGTTTGTTTTTATTTAGTGAATACTTAATAATATTAAAATTAGAGTAACTGAATTTTATTCAGTACATATACCAAATACCTTTTATGGGTTTTGTTATTTGTGCCAAATGCTTTTCATGGGTTGTTATACAAATCTCAAAACAATCCTTTGTAAGTAATATTATTATACCTGTTTTATAAAGGAGGAGAATGAGGCTTAAAGAGATAAAGTAAATTGTGATGAAAGTGTTGGAGCTAAGAAGTGGCATGAGTGTGGGTTTTGTTGGGCTGACGTCAGAGCTCCCGTGTTTGACTATTTCACTCTGTTTTCATATTAAGTCCTTTCTCCATGCCTATTTATTCATATCTAATATAAAAGTTTATGTTCTTAGGCTGGGACCCTCCTGCCTGAACATCACCAATTTTCAAGGACTCTTAATTTCTGCGTCTTATCTTCCATTACTGTTGGAAACAGAAAGGCAGTGGAATAAAATGGAGAGATTATAAATTCACATTTGAGTTAGACCAACGTGGGTGAGAGGCCTATTTAGCCTTTTAGTTGCTCTTTGAATTTAGGCTATTTATTCCACATCTCTAAAACCTCCATTTTGTTAGCTGTAATGACACCTATCTTCGAGTATTTGTGAGGATTACAAGATGTAAGACTTGCAATACACACACTTAGCATTTGGCTCAAAGTAAGCTGTCAATATATTTTATCTTAAAATGGAAAAGGGAATAAAAGTAACTATAGTTTAGGTTTTTTGGCTAAATGCTACAGTGCCAAAGGCTAATGACATTTGTTATAAATTTGACTCTTCTATCCTATGCAAAGTTTTCTTCCACAAACCTCCTCCTGACTATAACTTTCCTTCTGGGAAACTGATGTCCCCAAAAGGGAGACACTTAGAAACCAGGTAAGAATGACAGATGTAATGATGATTAGTGTTCTAGAGACTGCATTTTAAAACCACCTTTTCATGGTGATAGGGAAGAATATATAGGGTCCAGGAAAAATGACACTTGCTTCAGTGTGGTTGGTAGGGTAATAATATGGGTGTAATAATTTATAGTTTTAATTTTAACATTTCACCTAAAATTTCATATGGTGTGATTGAGTACAGTATTGTTATGTTACAGAATTATGCATTTATGATTTTTTAATAAAAGATTTTGTAATTTAAAAAAAGGGGCGTTATTTATGCTGGGTCCTCCTCCTGTATATGCACAATTAAAAAAATTTCTGGAGTTGCATTTATTGCTTTTTTATATATGAATATATATTCACTTGTTTTACTCATAAAATAGTTTACAAATCCACATGTATTTATTCTAAGGAAATTCAAGCGGTTTAAAGTTCTTATTCTAGTAGTGATTGCGATTTCCTGTTATTTATTCATGAGAATAATGAAATTGTCATTACATTTCTTTCAGTTAAGAGCATGCTATTTTAACTCTTTTTTGCCATCTAGGAATTTATTATATTCTCTACTTATTAGCTAGATAGCCCACAACATTTGTACCTTTGCATCTGTGTTTCCTCATCTATGAAATAGTATAAATAAGAATATTTTAAATAATGAAAGATTCAAATGAGCTAATTTAGGAAAAGTGCTAATCTCAGTGCTTGGCACAAAACAAACACTCACTAAGTATACCCTTTCCTTAGCATCTCCCACATAAATAGAGAAACTAATAGTCATTTTCAAATCAAACAGACTGAACATTTATGGTAGATAGACAATCTTGACAGAATTCAATGGGGCACAATGAAAATTTTAGACTAAACACAACCTGTAATTTTCCAGTTATGTTTTTATACAAAAAAACAACACTTTTTGCTAAGCAAATGTTAGTTCTACATGGGACCAACTTGCAGTTTTCTTTGTAGTTGTTGCTATTCTTCTAAGTGGAACAATATGTATTTTTTAAAATTGTATTAAAATATAATACCTCTTCAGATGGCAGAAGAAAATGAAAATAAAATAAAATTTATATTTATAGTACTAAATTTTTGGAAATCCTAGCCATTCAAGAAGTACTATCCAGAGGTTTAGTGGATACTTTGGATCTAAAATGATTTCCCCAAGTATTCTACATGTGGCAGATCACTTTATAATCAGCCTCTGCACTGCGCTTGTATAAAGAAACAGTCTTGATTTAAAGAAACCAAAGAAGCTTTAGCTTTTCCCATACACCCATGTTGCAGAGGCATTTGATATTCTTATGGAAAAGTTAGATTATGACTAGGCCAGTATATCAGTGTTAATTTTTAAAGATGATCAAATAACTAGTTAACTTATATAGTTTATGATCTCTGTATTATAGTTCGATTGCTCATCTCTTCATTTAGAGTTATATTTTTGTCAATAACAATGTTAGGCCATTAACAAAGATGTAAGTATCTACTGAAATTCAGAGTTTCGCTTCAGTTCTACAATTGTATCTTAACAATTCCTAGGGGGAAAAAAATCTACTATTTGATAAGCACAATCTATATTTTTGTTAAACTCAATCTAGGAGAAAAGTAAAAAAGGTCTCATACTATTTCTAAGAGCATATATTGTTATAAATAAGATGAAGGAAAATGAGGAAAAGCAGAACTGATGAACAAGATGAAAATCAAATCATTTGGAACTATATGTCTTTTAGAAAGTGGCATATGACCTCATCACATAGTTCTACATTCTGTAATTATGTTTATTTTCTAACCTAACTTTTTGTATCCGTATTCCAGGTCTCCCTCCTTCCCTTACTGAATTACATCTCGATGGCAACAAAATTACCAAAGTTGATGCAGCTAGCCTGAAAGGACTGAATAATTTGGCTAAGTAATAATCTTTCAAGAAATTCTATCAGTAAAATGGCTAGGTGTATTATTGCCTACATGCTCAAAATTAGAAACGATTGATTTTTGACGGCATCACATTTTTTGTTGTGGTTTACAATAACCTCAAACTTCAGCTAGGCCAATTATTTATTTAAAAACCTAATGAAATAGTATACTTACTATAACCACCAAGGTCAGGCTCCTATTTTATGAATACCCTATTGTTGTTAGATTCAGGTATATCTTATTGCAAAGTGTTTAATTAAATCAGTATGTTCATTATGTTCTAACTTGCATTGAATAGAAGGTTAACAAATTATAACACAGTGTCCAGAATTTGAAAATGCATTAAAATGAAAGCTACTAGGATATTGAAATATTGGGCATCCCACACCACAGTATAGAGTTAGAATAGTTATGATAAGATTTCCTAACTCTTACTCAGAAGAGTTTAAAATGTCCCTATTTATTTAATGTAGTATAAAAAGATTTTTACAATGTCTGGCCCTTCTTCACTTTTTTCCCCCCGATAGATGGTCACTAGTGCCTAAGTTGTTTTCTAACCTAGCTATAATATTCCTATCTTTACAATCTGTTTAAGTAATACAAAGAGGAGAGTCCTGGAAAACTCTTTTAGCTGTCTTCAAGGAACACTCTGTTCTTGATCCACTAGTACTGTTGAATGTTTTTAAGAGAAGCATGGTGTTATGCCAAATTGGCTCACTCCTTTCTTTGTATATAAATTTCATGGTAGATAAATAAATATAAAATATTCTGTTCATCTTTGAAAAGTGCCTACTATTTTTACCCATTTCTGTGGGTATTTCCCAGTGACCCAGTGGATGGCGAGAGCCGAAGATGAACACATGTATGTGGCAATAGCTACAAAGTATTACCCTGGTGTGTCACAGATGATGAGAAATCCTTTATCTAAAGCTATTTTAATCTCAGCTTCTAATGTAGACAGTATTTTTCAAAGTAGTATTATGCACCACTCACCTTTCTTTGCTGATTCAGTCCCTCTAGCTGCAGAAAAATGTTGGAAAATAAGGTGCATTACTTGTGGAGAACTGTCTTTAGGATGGCTGTTAGTATTGGATCATTATTCAGAGTAGTAGTAGGCATAAGAATTAACAATAACCTAACATTCTAAATGTGGCTAGTCATTCATAATATTTGTGCCTTTTTAGTAAAAAAACAAATCTGCAAAAAAACCCCCAAAATATTCTGAGCTAAGCTGCCAGGTTAAGAATCTATAGCTAAGATAAACCAACTGGGCTATTAATTGCCTAAAATCAGTACATTTTAATCTCAGTTATTTCAAATACCAAGTCATGATTAAAATTGGAAGACTTTGGTTACCTAAACCATCATCCAAATGTTAAAAGAGTTCAAAGGTCAGAACTAGCTGAAGACAAGCAGAAACCTATAAAACGTGCCATAGTCTCTTTCACCGCATTTAAAGAAACCCAACAGATTCTTCATCTTTCGCTTGGCACTTTCTGGGTCTCTTCCAAAATCTTCTTGCCTCATCCCTAGAGATACAGGGCAGAGATCAGGGTCAGAAACTAGCGACGTTAGTACCTGGTACATTCAGACAGTAACAGGTGGTCATTCGTTACCTCTTTCAAACTAGCGGGAGATACTAATTATGGTAACCTTTCTGGAAGTTAGGTTTATTGGCTCAGTAGACTCTTGTACCTTTTATTTCCAACAAATAAATTTATACAATAAATATATAGTTGCTTAATTTCCAAAATAATCAAAACAATAATAGTATTTTTTATTGTTTTCTCAAATGAATTCACTACTTTCATTGTATATAGATATCAATTCAACAACTAGTCATTGATTATATCAAGCACTGTGTTGATACTGAATATACCACCAGACAGTCACTATTCTTAAGGAGGGACCCACAGGTACACAGTCCCTTGAGTTTTACAGGAGGGCGACAGCAGGGTGCTTGCTATATATGAGCATTTACTAGGGGTACCCCTTTAGCCTAGTGCTGTTAGAGGAATTTTAAAGAGGGTTAACTCTAAGATGAAATCTTAAGAACAAAAGGACTTTGTCCAAGCTTAGCAAGTTTGGAAAAGCATTGTAGGCAGTGGGAAGAGTAAGTGCAAAAATGAAAAATGTCCCTTTCCATTGACTTGATTAATCACATGTCTGTAAGAAGGTATCCATGTGTGGTCCATGAGCTTGTTTCCTCTTTTCTGTTGTAGGTTGGGACTGAGTTTCAACAGCATCTCTGCTGTTGACAATGGCTCTCTGGCCAACACTCCTCATTTGAGGGAACTGCACTTGGACAACAACGAGCTTCTCAAAGTGCCTGCTGGGCTGGCAGAACATAAGTACATCCAGGTAATGCAATGTCACTGACCGCTGTGCATATCTAGGCAGCAAACCCTCTTTACTGAGATGCCAAGAGGCCGGAAGCTCAGCTTAGAACTAATTTTTCAGAGAGATATTTTTAGTGTTTCCACATAGTCATTCTTGTTTTATAGGTGTAAATGATTAATTTTTAAAAATTAGGACTAGTGTCTTGAACTTGCTTGCTCCCAGAATGTAATATTTTTTTATGAGGCAAGGTAATTTCAAGTAACAGATCAGTGTAATAAATACATACTGGTTAGAAGAAATTATATAACCTGTGATGCATAGATATGGAATAAAATTGTAGTTTTAACTTTTAGCTTCAGCAGATATCATATAGGTCAAAAGAGAATGTGTCTCCAGCAGTATGACTGAATTAACTTTATATCAATTATCAAGTTATAATGCATTCAAAAGGATAAAATGATACAATTCAATAGTCCACTGTGGTAACAGAGCTTTGTGGTCTATAATTCTATAAGTGTAAGACATGCTTATTAGTTTAAATTGTGATAATTATTTTATGTATAACAATATAAGACATCCATTGTTACTTTAAGGAACTAAAACAAACATGTTATTCCAATTATATTTTTTTAAATTCAGTAATGTGGTCTTCAATAGGTTTTATATATTTGCTTATTTTATCTAATTTTCAGTTTTTTAAAGGTCATATTTAAACTGTTTCAGAGATTTACATAGATACTTAGTTCAACCATGGTGATTCAGAAACTATACCTTAACATTGATATTATGTTATAGGGAAAAGTACTTTGTACATTTGCCATTTTTGTAATTTAGAATCTAAACTTTACTGCTTGGGGTTCAAGATAGATTTCTCTTTTACTCTGCTCTCAGCAATATGAATAAATTAACTGATTTTTTTTATTGACTTGTGACAAAACTCAAAATTTAATTCAAACATCACAATTTTCATTATCTCATGCTAATTCTTGTTCAGTGGGTCTTTGGTGATAATAGATAAGTGAGTAATTGGGGGTTGAAGCCACAAGTAAAACCAGTCCACGTGGAAGACAGAAGAATCGCTATTGTTGTTACTGTTACGATTTTAGTTGGTGGTGGATTTTGTTTTGTTTTGGTTTGTTTTTGTTTTCATTTTTAGATCTCAGAGTAATCACTTTCACCTTCTTGAATGCTTTTTATCAAATGTTCATTTGAACACATTATTAAGTCCATAAAATCAGTTTCATGGGTTCACTAGGAACATTTATGAAATGTGATGGTATGGGGTAGGGTAGGATGAAATACAATAAATTGAATATAAAAGAAAATATCACTGTGATATTAAATATTTTAAAATAATTTCATATATACAGATTTATATATACTAAACCTCAATATATAATGTCTTTCATATTGTGGATCATAGAGAAAAAACTAAAACATACTTATTTGCAGTCTTTGTTGAATATCAGCAAATCTTTGGGCTTTCACACAGGGTCCCACATTCTAAAGGGCCCCTCACTCTTGGTTTTCCTATCTAATTGGTTCCCCGTGTACTCATTTTACTCCTCTTCCTTCAGGCACCAAGGGATTTCATCTACCCTTCTTCCTTTTCTATAAGCATATAGTTCAGCTATTGTAAGCAAAATAATAGAGTTGTTCAACATCATTACAATCCAGTTTTAGAACATTTATACTATGCTCAAAATATTCTGCTATTAATTTCTAGCCAGTTTGCAAGCTCATACCCAGATACAGAAAATCATTAATCTTCTTTTTGTCTCTGTTTGCCTTTTCTGGACATTTTATATAAATGTAATCATAACAATGTGTGGCTTTTGTGTGTGGCTTTTTAAATTTATCATAATGATTTTATAGCATCCACATCATAGCATTTATTAGAAGTTCATTCATGTTTATTTGTGTAGAGCATTCCATTATATGTATATGTCACATTTTGTTTGCTAATACTATACCTTCTTTTACTGTACTTTTTTTACATCACTTTTTAGTCCCTTCATACCGCTCTCCCTCCCTGCAATCAGCACACTGTTGTCCCTGTCCATGAGTCTTTTTTCCTTGTTGCTCAATCGCTCCACCCCCCAACCTCACCCACCACTAGCTGTCATCCTGCTCTCCATCTATAAGTCTGTCCCCATTTTCCTTGTTAGTTCAATTTGTTCATTAGATTGCACACATGAGTGAAATCATATGGTATTCATCTGTCTCTGACTGGCTTATTTCACTTAGCATAATGTTCTCCAGGTCCATCCATACTGCTGCAAAGGGTAAAATTTTCTTCTTTTTTTTTGGCCAGGTAGTATTCTGTTGTGTAAATGTCCCATAGTTGTTTTATCCAGTTATCTGTTAACGGACACTTGGTCTACTTCCATATTTTAGAGATTGTAAATAACACTGCAGTGAACATAGGGGTGCTTATGTTCTTTCAAATTAGTGTTTTGTGTTCCTTTGGATATATCCCCAGAAGTGAGAACACTGGGTCGAAAGGCAGATCCATTTTTAGCTTTTTGAGGTATCTCCATACTGCTTTCTACAGTGGCTGCACCAGTCTGCATTCCCACCAACAGTGCAAAAGGGGTTCCCCTTTCTTCACATCCCCACCAGCACTTGCTGTTTGTTGATCTGTTGATGATAGCCATTCTGACAGGTGTGAGATTGTATCTCATTTTGGTTTTAATTTGCATTTTTCTGATTATTAGTGACATTGAGCATCTTTTCATATGTCTATTGGCCATCTGTATGTCCTCTTTGGAGAAGTGTCTATTCAAGCCCTTTGCCTATTTTTTCATTGGGTTGTTTATTTTTTTGGTGCTGAGTTTTATAAGTACTTTATAAACTTTGGGTTTATAAAGTACTTACCAGATGTATCGATGAATATGTTCTTCCATTCTGTAGATTGTCTTTTTATTTTGTTGCTTTCCTTTGCTGTGCAAAAACTTTTTAATTTGAGATAGTATCATTTGTTTACTTTTTCTTTTGTTTCCTTTGCCTGGGGAGATATATCTGATAAAAAAACTTGCTACAAGCATTATACAAGATTTTGCTGCCTATGGTTTCTTCTAGGATTTTTATGGTTTCAAGTCTAACATTTAAGTCTTTGATCCATTTTGAATTTATTCTTGTGTGTGGTGTAAGAAGGTAGTCTAGTGTCATTTTTCTGCACTTACCTTTCCATTTTTTCCAACACCATTTACTGAATAAACTATCTTCATACCGTTGTATGTGCTTGCTTCCCCTGTCAAATATTAACTGACTAAAAAGGGGTAGGTTTATTTCTGGGCTCTCTATTCTGTTCTATTGATCTATGTGTCTTTTTATCCCATTACTATGTTGTTTTGATTAATATGGCCTTCTAGTATAGTTTGATATTGGGTAGCATGATCCCTCCGACTTTGTTCTTCTTTCTCAGGATCACTGTTGCTATGCAGGGCCTTTTGTGGTTCCATATAAATTTTTTAAATATTTGTTTTAGTTCTATGAAATACACCATTGGAAATTATTGGAATTGCATTGAATCTATAGATTGCTTTGGGTAGTATGGGCATTTTAATGATGTTAAACTATCCATGAACCACTGTATATGCTTCCACTTATTTGTATCTTCTTCAATTCCTTTCTTTAGTGTCTTAAAATTTTATGTGTACAGATCTTTTATACCCTTGGCTAGGTTTATTCTTGGGTATTTTATTCATTTTGAAGCAATTGTGAATGGGATTGTTTCCTACTTTTCTGTTATCTCGTTAACTAACAGAGCTCGTTAAAAATGCAACTGATTTTTGGATACCAATTTTGTATCTTGTTATTTTGCTGAATTCATTTATCAGGGCTAGTAGTTTCTTGATAGAATCTTTGGGATTCTCTATTTACAGTATCATGTTCTCTGGGAATAAAGACAGTTTTGCTACTCCCTTTCCAATTTGGATGCCTTTTATTTTTTTCTTCTGGTCTGGTTGCTATGGCTAGGACTTCCAGTACTATTTTGAATAATAGAGGGGAAAGTGGACATCCCTATCTTGTTCTTGATTATGAGAGGAACACTTGTAGTTTTTTCCCATTGAGCATGATAATGGCAGTGGGTTTGTCATATATGGCCTGTATTATGTTCATGTATGTTCCTTCTATTTCCATTTTGCAGACAGTTTTTATCATAAATGGCTGATGGATTTTATCAAATGCTTTTACTACATCTAAGGATATTATCATGTAGTTTTTATCCTTCATTTGGTTTATGTGGTGAATAACACTTACTGATTTATGAATGTTTCTGCTACCATACCTTTTGATTACTGTATCTTTTGATTGTGTTTTGATATTGGGAGTGAAGATACTCTAACTTTCTTCTTATTTTTAAAAATTGTTTCTTTGCATTTCCATGTAATTTTGTGATAAACTTGTTCATTTCTGCTAAAATAGTGCGCTAGGAATTTGATAGGGATTGTGTTGACTCTTTAGATCAATCAGGGGAGAATTTTTAACTTGATAATATTGAATATTCCCATTAAAAGGCATATAATATAATATACAAGCATGTAATATTTCTCTTTTATCTTCTTTATTATTCACAACAATGTTTTGCCATTTTAGGGTACAAGTGTTAACGATTCTTTTCTTAAGTTCATTTCTGGTGTTCTCGCTTTTGTTTTTAAGATGCTTCTCCTAAATGAATTGTTACCTTAATTTCATTTTGAATTTTTTGTCACCAAGTATACAGAAATTCAATTGATATTTTTTAATCTCGATCCCCTATCCTAGTACACTGCTGAAATAGTTTTTAGTAATAGTTAGGATTTTTCGTGTATTCTTTTGGATATTATATATTCAGGAGCTGTCATTTGTAAATAGTTTTAGTTATTCTTTTTTAACTAAATTCCTTTCATTTCTTTTTCTTGCTTTATTGCAATGGATAGAATTCCTAGTGCAATGTTGAACAGAAGTGATGAAATTAGACATCTTTGCCTTGTTTCCTATCTTAAGAGGGTGTTGGATAATCAATTACACCTATTTATATTTCTGAGATAAATTGTGCTCAGTCTTTATGTATAATTTTTTACATGTGAGATACAGTTTTCTTACAGTTTGTTAAAGTTTTTGCCTATATTCATATGAGATATTTGATTATGGTTTTCTCATGATGATTTTTGTCTTGCTTTAATATTAGAAAATATTGACTTCATAGAATGAGTTGGGAATCTAATTTCTTTTTACATAGACTAATACTTGCTCTATGTCTTAATATTTTCTTCTTTCACCTTCAATATCAGTCATAAATTCTCATCAGATACCTCTCCCCTTTCTTGCTAATTACTACTAGGAAATAAAGAATGGTAAATGACCACAAGAAATGTGCAGAACTTGGAGAATTGTAAAAAAAGAATATTCACAATTGTTGCTTTAGTTTTAATATCCCTTGTTCCTGTTTCTGTATGGCATCTACTGTTCTCTTTATAATCCCTTTCTTAAAGAACAAGTGAGTGTGAGTGTTCTGATAGGTGGAACAGTATTTTAAGTCAATTATTTTAAAGGAACAACTCATGGATTTTACAGCTTGCTTCAGAAATTGTTGCCTTACATATCATTATATTTTAGTCTCAATTGTATGGTTGAATCATCGAGTAATTTATTGATCTTCAGAATTCACATGTACAAAATGGAAGTTAAAAACTCATTTCTAAAGTCCTTTTTCTAAGTCTATTTACTTTCCCTTTGGAAATCCGTGAGCAAATTACTATTATCTTAAATGTAATCATAAATATGTTTCAGAATAAATAAAGTCTGATGAACTATAACATATTTATAGAGTATAATTTACAACAGAAAATACATTTTTAAAAAAAATTTAATAAAAGTGCTGTGCCACTTAGGTATTTCTTACAGTTTGTGTTGATTTTTATTGCAATACTGTATACCCTCTTTTTCTTAATTGTATATTACTTTCCCATTTTATATAACTTTATTGAAAGTTCTATTATTTGTCTTTGCTCTGAAAATATAATATTCCATGTACACACAATTTATGAAATAACTATGAATCCATTCATTTATTCTTTCAACATATTTATTGAACACCTATTCTGTTTTAGTATACACTAGAGATACAGTCATGAATAAAACAGGAAGAGATTTTTCTCCTAATGGAACTTTTAATCTAGAGGAAGAAAAGAGACAAACATAAATAAATATAAAATATGCTATATAGTGATAATTGCTATAAAGAAGAGAAAATAAGTGTATTTGGGACACAGAATGGCAGAATGAGATGGTTGGGGAAACATCTTTGCTAAGAATAAATGAATTATATGAGGCAGTAAGCCTGGTAGACATCTTGGAGGAGATCACTCCAGGTGGAAGAAACAGTACATGCCAGCCTGATGAGGAACCATGCTTTGCATGTTAGAGGAGAAGCAAGAAGGCCAGGGTGGCTGGATTGAACAGTAAGTGGAGATGAGGTCCGAGCAGAGGGATGTCAGATCATGTACGATATGGAGGCCAATATGAGAATTTTGGGTTTTATTCTACATGACATGGGGAGCCACTGGAATATTGAGACAAAGAAGTTATAGCTTGGCTTAATTTTTAAAACACTTGTTTTGTGAACTAAAAAAGAAAATAAAGAAAGAACAGACTGGAGGAAGGCAAAAGAAGAAGCAAGAAGAAAAATCAGTGCAACTTCAGTAATCCAGAAGATAATGGCGGCTTTGGAGAAGGCTTTGGGAGTAGACGTGGGGATAAGCGCTGGATTATATGCGTATTTTGAAGTTTGAGCTGGCAGGATTTGCTGATGGTTGGGCAGAGAGTATAAAAGAAAGGAAGGAGCAAAGATAATGACAATGTTTTTAGCTTGAGGATCTGAAAAGATTGTGATGCTGTACACCAAAATGAGGAGACTAAGGAAAGGAAAAGAGTTTTAAAAGGAAATGAGAAATCAAAAGTTTGGTTTGAGAAGTATTTCAGTATTTAAACTGAAGAATGAAACCACTGAAAAAGAATAAAGTATTTAAAGGAGGGGCTTCAGTATATTCAGAGGGAAATAATTATTCTCCATTATTTCATGTTACAGGTTGTCTACCTTCATAACAACAATATCTCTGCAGTTGGATCTAATGACTTCTGCCCACCTGGATATAACACCAAAAAGGCTTCTTATTCAGGAGTGAGCCTTTTCAGCAACCCAGTTCAGTACTGGGAGATTCAGCCATCTACCTTCCGATGCGTCTATGTGCGCTCTGCCATTCAGCTTGGAAACTACAAGTAACGCCCAAGAAAGCCCCATTTTTATAATGGCAAAATCTCATTAATGTCATTGCTCAGAAAAAAAGAAAATGAAAGCTAAATACTGAAATCTTAACTGCAATGTGGATGTTTTTCCCACATGACGTTATGCATAAAGCCAAATATGCAGTTTAAATAATTGCCTACAATAAAAGAAATATTTTGCCTGAATTCTTTTTTGAAGCTTTCTGTTGATGTTAACTGAGCTGTCGCAGATATTCTTATTTCACTAAATACAAAATTTGGAGAAAATACGTATGTCCAAAATTTAGTAAAGCTTTTCTTTTTTAATTTTCAACGGAGTCAAATTTAAAAAGTATCAATCTTCTGTAACTCATAGGATGGTTAGTGACTTAAAATCAAAAGTCAAATTCTAGCTCTGTATTAATCCCCACTATTACTGGAAAAGCCTTATTTGAATATGTAAATTCAAATAGGCTATGTAAAATTTTTACTGTCATTATTTTGAAAAAAATAAATTCACAAGTTCACATTAAAAAGTAATATTGTATAGAAGTATAATTGTAAATCTTTCCTAAACTTAATTTTCTGAAAAGAGTAGACATTGCTTTCTCGATAGAAACAGCACATTGTTTCAAGTTCTTAGATATTTCTTCTGTCCCTGTCCTTTCACATTTGTGTATTGTAACTTACATTACCTGTATTCAATGTTAAGCTGGTAAAGCACAAAACTGACTTTTTCTGATGGTCTAGAAAACTGATACTTTATAGTCACTAAGCTCTAAATCAGCTTTAAAACTATCATGAGTATAATTAGGATGCTTACCTGAACATTTCTATCATTATAAGATGTATTAGATATTTAATGCACTTAGTTAAACCTTCCTTCAATTTCAGACTGTTTTCTTCAAGATTTAGAAACAGCAACAGACCCTTCAACAAGTCTGGGGAATGGGATTATTTTAAACATCTATCGAAAAGTATATGTGTGGCATCAGTGTCTAATAAGTAAACATGTGAAAACTGTTTCTTCTACCATGTTGAATGTTTTATGGTTGTAAATACAGGCAACCAAATCCAATCTGATTTAAACTACAAAGGTAAATACAAAATAGTCCTTCTATTAGGTGAGCCTTTAGGTGCAGTTTGGTGGAGTTGTAGCCGAGTTCCTCTACAGTTCTTTCAGCTCTGCCTTCCTTCATTCTCAGACTTGCTTCTCTTGTGTTCGCAAAGTAAATATCTCACCCCATAGTTTATCCCATTCAGAACACAAAAGGATGTGAGCACATTTTCCAGGAGAAGTCATGAGATGTTCTGATTTTTATATACCAACTTCACAACTCTTTAGAGTCAATGAGTAAATACTGTTACTCCCATTTTATAGAAAACTAAACTGAAGTTAGTAGAAATAACTTTCCTGGAGTTAAATACCTGCTAAATACCTGCAACAGAGCTTTTTGTTTTTCCTTTGTACAAGGCAGGGTCTGGTAGAAAACAGAATTTACCCCAGAGAATTCACATGAAGATAATTTAATGAAGGGACTGTGACAGGGCGAACACAGAGTTTATTGCATCAAACAGGGGATGGTGAGACACCTAGAGACTGGCAATGGTCTCAAGCCATTCCCACCATATGGCTGAATGTGGGGGAAGAAATTGAGTCTCTGGAGCCAAGCGAGAGGACAACTATGGAGTACTTTCGTGCCCAGGGAGCCATGTTCCTGGAGGAATACAGCTTCTGCCAGAGCTGAAGTACTAAAGTAGGTCATCTACTTTTCTCTCCTAATACCGAGCCTCTCAGTCACTGTTCAAACCTTAGGAAAGACAACCATCAAGGAAGACAGACAGATGAAGTCTTCTCCCAGATCAGGGCAAAGAGGACAGGAAAATGCATCTGGTCAAGGCACGTGGAAAATAATTAGCCCAGGCACTCTGATTACAATTATTGAACAAAATCCACAAACCTCAGATAAACATTACATTCACATGTTTACATTCATAAAGTGCCAGAGATACCACAGGCACTTTTTCTGAACCATGATCATTTTAGACTTTTTTGCTGATATCAGCACCTTTGATCAGTGCGAAAAAGCCTATGTGTATAGAATATACACATATATGTATATGTGTATATGTATATACACACACATATATGGTGAAACTTCAACAGATGATAGCTGAATCTGATTTACCATTATTAAACACGAGGCTATTTTTATAATGTTTTTGATTAAAAGAGTTTACTAATTTAAATCAATATGTCATGTTAAAAATCACAGTGAAAACAGAAAACTTACTTTGTCAATATTATGAGGCAGTCAGTTAGGTATTCTACATAAATTTGGCAGAAAACAAAAATAATGTTTGGATAATTATGAGAATCATGAAAATTGAAGTATACAGCTCTAAGCTGTTGCATTTAAAGTCATATTTTACTTTTATTGGTTGCTGCTTGAAATGTATAAATTTTTGTATGAACTGCTTAATTTGGCTGGACTTCCATGAAATGATCATGTTGGTTGTATTTATTCATAGTCTATATCAGGCAGTAACTGGGATCAATTTGTTGATTTAGCATTCACTTATTCATTAAAAAAACTAGACATGAGATAACTCCTAGTAGAAAAATGAAAACAACAACAGATATTTGTTTCTGGAGTTTATTCAGTGCATACGAATTGCCAGCTGCTTTGCTAGGCTCTTTCGGACCATGTATTTATTTATCACAAAAATCCCGTGAGAATATACTATCCCCATTTTACAGGTGATAAAATTGAGATATATGGGAAATACAGAGTCAGCATTACAACCCTGATGTGTAGTGATCCAGTTATGCTCGGCCTTTTCTTTTGCAATAGTTTATACAATTCATAGCATTATTAAAACCAGAGGTCGCAGCACTAAACACTAAAGGGAATCTATTCATGGTTCTCAGCAGCTCTGCAGCATTGTACTCACAGGTTAGGGTCTTGAAATTCAGGTGCCATAAAGATAATAACTGTCCTTTCATTGAAAACTAAGTCTTAACTGTATATACAGGATCTCCTTTAATACTTACCTGGCCCTCTGGATTATGTGTGGTTATTTCATATCCTTTCCACAGATGAGTAAATGGAGTCCCAGAGAGGCCAAGTGCTTTTCCCATAGACATGCAGCTTGTAAGTAAGGAAAACAAAGTTTTAATTACTTGAATGTATTGTCTTTTGCTACTTTAGGGAAAAAAATGTATTTGTGACTTACAACAGAGTTTTGTCTTTGAAATATTGTGCAGGGCTATAGAATAATGGGTAATCCTACCAGTCAGAATTAGTGCTCTTATATTTCAAAAATGATGAATTTGTTCACAACAAATAGAGAATATTCTATAACATCAATGTTTAATTTTAAAAATGTTCTACATCAACTCTATTCAGTACAGTATCCCCTAGCCACACCTGTCTATGGAACCCTGGAAATGTGATAGAACTAAAGAACCTAATTTTAAATTTTATTTAATTTCAATGAATTTAAAAATTAATAGTCATATATAACTAATTGATATCCTATTCTAAATACTCCCAATGAGTTTAAATATGACTTCCATGACCCAGAGTAGATTTCTATTCATGCAAAAATATTTACTAGGCATGTGCCAACACACTAGGGATATAATAATGACTTTAGAGTGATCATAATTTAATAAAGGACACAATCATGTAACCAAATAATAGAAATATGGAAGGCTAAATTTTATCATAGAAATAGATATAAATTACAGCAGAGCCCCAGAGGAAGAGTGATCATTTCTGCCAAGGGTAGAAGAATAAGCACAGAGAGATAGAGAAGGCTTCACTGAGGAGGTAATAGTTGAGGTGGGTTTGATGAATACATAAGAGTTCAACAGGAAGATTTAGGGAAAGCAGCTACTCAAGACAGAGAGTAAGCTCAAAGGCTCAGAGGAATATCTTAGCAAGTCTTCTCTGATTCTGGCAGAAAAGAGGGTATACTCCCCCCTCACCCTCCTTTACCTTCTTCTGAAGCAGAGGCAGTGGTTTACAATTAGATATGATACACGCAGAGCTAAGGACAGCATTCGGGAAGCCACCCTTTTTCCTCTTTCCACACTATTGCTGAGTCACAAAGTATCAATTTCCTAGAATGTTCAGTAAAAAGGAGAAAATGTCTTTCTTTTTGTTGTCTCTTACAATCTCAAAATATCCCACCCTCATAGAGAAAAAGAAGTATCTATTAGAAGCTTCAGAAGTTCAAGATCTATGCCATCACTAGATTTTTTTTATCAGGCTGCACCTTGAATCTGGCACTCTCTTCTCTAGTCCTACCTCCTCCAAATTGTACTTTTCCTCTTGTAGGGGAAAAGCCTGCAATTACCATGCTGCTTAATTTATAACCGTGGGAGGTAAGGGTGGAGATAGAAGAATGGGCAGACCATTTTGGACTTTTATCTGCAAGACATATCCTGCAATACACCTTTTCCGGCAGCAAAGCTATTTCTCATGTTTCAGGAGCAGCAGGAGAGAGAGGCCTGACCTTTCAGCACCCCTGTCTGAAGTGCCCACGTAGCTTTATAACTTTCCTTTGGAATAAAGATACACGCGGTTCATTTCCTGGATTTCAACATTTGCTATTTGCATGACTTCAGAAAGTTACTTATCCTTTCTGGGACTTATTTCCCTGTCTGAAAAATAGGAAAAATAGTTCACCTCTTATAGGTTGGTGTGTGAATTAAGCAAATTAACATACGGTGTAATTCTTCAGTCAAAGCCCAGCACACAGGAAAGCCTCAAATATGTTGGTGCTCTTGCTGTTACTCCCCAGGCTGCATATTTAGAGCTACAATAATCTCAAGGGATATTCGGTCCTTAAGTCTACATTGGGGTCTAAGATTTTTCAAACAAGCTCCCAGGAATGTTGCTACTCCTAGTTTCAGACTCTGAGGAACAAACCAATAGAGTCCTCTCGTTATCGATTGTACCATGTCTGTCTCTTGTCTCACACCGGTGGGTCCCTGTGAGAAGCCACCACTGTGTTAGTTTCCTAGGGCTACTATAACAAAGTACCACAAACTGGGGGTCTTAAAATGACAGAAATTTATTCTCTCACAGTTCTAGAGAGAGAAAGTTCGAAAGAAAGGTGTTGGCAGAGCTATACTCCCTCTGAAATCTCTAGGGGAAAAGCCTTCCTTGCTGCTTCTGGCTTCAGGTAGCTCCAGGTATCCTTGGTTTGTTGCATCATCACTCTACTCCCGGTCTCTGTCTTCACATGGCCTTCTCTCTTCTTGTCTTGAGTGTCTGTATCTATTCTCCTCTTCTTATAAGGACCCTCATTAAATTGGATTTGGACCCCTCCCCACACCGCGATTCAGTATGACCTCATCTTAATTGATCTTCTGCAAAGACCCTATTTCCAAATAAAGTCCCATTCACAGGTACTAGGGATCGGATCTGCACCTTATCTTTTGGAGGGACACAATTCAACCATTAATGCTTTTTATTATTATAAAAAGTTACTTATTTTTGTTCTTATTTTTATTAACACTTTG